GCTAGTGAGATGAACAGAGAGGTGGTTTCTAGCAGCTAACTGGAATGGCCCAGCTCTGATGGCGCTGCAGGATTCACTCCCAGAAAAGAAACTGAGTTATCTGTATCTGGTGCAAGCCCTTGACATGAAGTTTGGAGCTAGTCATCAATCGGAGCTAGCCAGGCACAGCTAAGAGCTAAAAGGAGTGTGGGGGAAAGAGACCACATGTAAGGAGATTTGTGTTCCTGGCATATCTAGATGCCAGGAGGACTTCTAGAATACATTAGGAATGCACCAAGTTATAGATGCTCAGATGGACGTGGATTTGCAGATTAAGATCAGTGAAAGAAGGCCAAGGTCACTCTGAGAGGCTGTGGAATTTGCCTCTGAACTTGACTCTTTCCTTGCAGCAGCCCACCAGAAGAGGAAGCAGACATTAGTGAGGAGGATGGAAGCTGATCACCAGGAACCCTGTAAGTACAGCTTTGTGTCTAATATGCATGATGGAAAAGAGGATTCTAATGTGGTTCATGACATGATCCAACAACTGAAAAAAAATGACAGGTTTCAGAGTAACAGCCGTGTTAGTCTGTATTCGCAAAAAGAAAAGGAGTACTTGTGGCACCTTAGAGACTAACCAATTTATTTGAGCATAAGCTTTTGTGAGCTACAGCTCACTTCATCGGATGCATACTGTGGAAGGTGTAGAAGATCGTTTTATACACACAAAGCATGAAAGTATGCATCCGATGAAGTGAGCTGTAGCTCACGAAAGCTTATGCTCAAATAAATTGGTTAGTCTCTAAGGTGCCACAAGTACTCCTTTTCTTTTTTTGAAAAAAAATGCTTAATGTGGTTTATAAAAGAAAGGAAATTGGCAAGGATGCAAAAAATAAGGGAAGCCATTCAGTTAAATGCTGGTACTGTGAAAAAATTGGCTACAAAAGGAAGGGTTATTATAAATTTAAGGCAGCCCAGGTCAGAGCATCCCGAGAACCTAATGAAAGTCCCTTACCCAGTTTGGGAAATGTGGGACACCAACCTGAAAGTGCAAACCTTGGAGGAACAAGAACTACTCCCACAGTTTTTGATTAGATCTGGGCAGCTGAACAACCATAATAGGAGTATGGCTATTGAGTATGTAATAGGATCTGTGAAATGCACAAGAATAGCGGACAGTGGCTCACACATAAGTTATTAGACTAGACAAGCTAGTAATGTTAGGAAATAGGGAACCAAAAACTGATCTCAAATGGAGACAGTGATGGGAACATGCAGTTGTCCAAAAATGGGGAAAACTAGGTTTGAAAACTGAACCTCTGCAATTTGAGCAAGATGTTGGGTAGCTGAGCTAGTCAATGAGCGAGTTGTTTTGGATTTTATTATGTCCAACTGCTGGAATCAATGACAGGAAAGGAGTCCTACAAATTCAGTCTGGAAATTCCCTTCAAAGAGGTGGCCCAGATTTTAAAAATTGTTTATAGGCAATTGGTTTGCAGTGAACAAATTGTTCTGCCTCCAGGGGGTCAGAAACCATAACAACAGCTACATGCTGTGGTAGCATTCCAGCAAGGAAAAGATGGGGTTTGGTTGAGACCTGCATTAAGACCTATGGTCTTGGGGGAAATTTTAGCTGCTAAAGTTATTGTGGATCTGAAGCACGAATGGATTCCTGTTCATTTGCCAAATGCTTCTGAAAAAAAGTAAAAAAGGGAACCATTGTTGCAAAATGGGAACCAGCAGATCTAGTAAATGTGACTGTAGAAGAAAACTACAAGGGGAAGGAAATAAAGGTAAATTCCCAGAATTTTGACTGGACTTGTTCCAATGCAGTACCTCAGATTTGAAGGAGAAGCAGCAGAATGATCTAAGACACTTTTTGGTTAGAAATCAGAGGTTATTCTCCAGTTCCATCAAAGGCAGAGATTATACTGCACTGGTCCAGCACAAGATTGATACTGGGGAAAACTCACGCATTAAACAGCCACCTATCAGTTGCTAAGAGAGAAGAGGTTTCAGAGTGGTAGTCGTGTTAGTCTGTATCAGGAAAAAAAGCTGGGAGTACTTGTGGCACCTTAGAGACTAACAAATTTATTTGAGCATGAGCTTTTGTGGGCTAAAGCCCACTTCATCAGATGCATGCAGTGGAAAATACAGTAGGAAGATATATAGATATACAGAGAACATGAAAAATTGGGGGTTGCCATACCAACTCTTAATGAGATCAATCGATTAAGGTTGGCTATTATCAGCAGGAGAAAAAAACCGTTTGTAGTGATAATCAGGATGGCCCATTTCAAACAGTTGACAGGAAGGTGTGAGTAACAGTAGGGGGAAATTAGCATGGGGAGGCTTTGTAGATCATTAAGGAAATGTATCACAAAGACATAATTGAGCCTTCGACCAGTCCTTGGGCCTCACTCATGGTTCTGGTTAAGAAAAAAGATGGCAGCATCACATTCTATGTGGACTACAGAAAACTAAATTAAGTCACTTTGAAGGATTCTTACCCATTGCCACAAATAGGTGATAGTATGCTGCAGCAAATTCAGTCTGTTTTTCCCCACTGGATTTTAAAAATGAGTATTGGCAAGTGAAACCAAAGGACAGGGAAAAGACTGTTTTCAGAACAGAACAGGACCCGTGGCAATTTAAAGTGATGGCTTTCAGCTTGTGTAATGCATCAGCCATGTTTGAGAAGCTTATGGAGAAGGTACTGCATGGCATGCCTCTCTCAAAATGCGTGTTATACCTAAATGATATCTCGGTATATGGAAAGACCTTTGAATAGAAACCCGCACATCTACAAATGGTCTGTGATAAGCTTAAAGCTGCCAATCTGAAACTGAACCCAAAAAAATGTGAGTTGTTCCAAAAAGGTAACCTAACCAGCACACACAGACAGTGAGGAGGTATTTCCACTGACCAAAGGAAAATTGAGGCTGTGCAGAACAGGTCAGCTGCCCAGCTGCTTTACAAAGTGCCGTGAAGTTTATCCAATAAGGAACCCAAGAGGCTGTAACAGTAGCAGAAGTTCTAGTAAATGAATCCTTCACTGGATTTGGGGTCCCCAGTACAGCTGGGTGAGTAATTGAGTTTGGTTCTCAGCAGGTCTGGAAAATCTAAACATTTTGTTTCTGGGCATTTTTAAAGGGCTAGATTCACAATCATCATCAGCAGCCACTACTGCTGCCTCCATGATATCTTTTAACCGGTTGGTTTGAGCAGGGGCTCTCAGCCTTCCCAGGCTGCTGTGCCCCTTCAGGAGTCAGATCTATCTTGCGTACCCCCAAGTTTCACCTCACTCAAAAACTACCTGCGTACAAAATCAGACCTAAAAATACAAAAGTGTCACAGCACAGTATTACTGAAAGATTACTGCTTTCTCATTTCTAACCCTATAATTATAAAATACATCAACTGGGATATAAATCTTGTGCTTACATTTCAGTGTATAGCATAGAGCAGTACAAACAATTCATTGTCTGTATGAAATTTTAGGTTGTACTGACTTCACTAATGCTTTTTATGTTGCCTGTTGTACAAGTAGGCAAATATCTGGGTGAGCTGATGTAACCTCGGCAGAACTCTGTATACCTCCAGGGGTACGTGTGCCCCTGGTTGAGAACCACTGAGCTAGGGCACTTACCTGGGCTGTGGGAGACCTGGGTTCAAGTCCCCCCTCAGCCTGAGGTAGAGCAGGGATCTGAATTTGGGTCTCCCATCTTGGATTTTTCACAGTGCAGACCAGGCCTGAGATGGAGTGGTGTGCTGGAGGGCTATGGGGGCTGCTGGCCAGCATGTTTGATCTGTGGGCAATCATAGACATTGCTGAACCTGATTAATGTGCTAGCTACCTTTCATTCAGGCTAAATGGGAGAAGCAATTAAGCTCCTTTGTGGAGTAAGATAGCTGGAACAAAAGAATCATAGAATCATCGGACTGGAAGGGACCTTGAGAGGTTATCTAGTCCAGTCCCCTGCACTCATGGCAGGACTAAGGATTGTCTAGACCATCCCTGACAGGTCTTTGTCCAACCTGCTCTTAAAAATCCCCAATGGTGGAGATTCCACAATCTCCCTAGGCAATTTATTCCAGTGCTTAACCACTCTGACAGTTAGGAAGTTTTTCCTAATGTCCAACCTAAACCTCCCTTGCTGCAATTTAAGCCCATTGCTTCTTGTCCTAGCCTCAGAGGTTAAGAAGAACAATTCTTCTCCCTCCTCCTTGTAAAAACCTTTTATGTATTGAATGCCACCAGCCAAGGTGCTGGCCCATGTAGGAAGTCCTGAACAAGAACTAGCTCAGGGAAAGTAAGAGGGGTTTCTCTTGGACTGATTGAAAATACAGAGATTGTGCCATTGATTGGTGGAGCTGTGAGTGTCGTCAGGAGAAAGCCAGAGAAACACTGTTAATATGACCCAGAGAGGGAGCAGAGAAAGAGCTGGAGAAGCAGGACTGGGTTTCTGGGCAAGGAAAGTCCCACGTATTGTTTGTTCCTATGGTATTCTGGGAAATAGGACTTTCGGGGCAATCGTTGTAAATAAACAGGTTTGCACCAAAGAAATCCCTGACTTGTATAATCAATTTCTTCTCCTAATGAAAAAACTTGGCAAGAACCTGCTTGGGCTAAGGGGCAATGTTATAAATAAAAAACTGGGGAGTTAAAATCTTCCAGGAAGGTTGGAGCCTGGGATTGTGACATGTATGGGTTGCTTCTGAAGTTCCCCATCCCCTCCTTCAAATTGATTTGGTGTCCATCTACTAGTACCAGGGTCTCCCCTTGTCCATTCTACATAAAATGTTTCTGCTTCTGTCACCAGTCTGAAGCTCATACCTCCACAGCACACCACCCCCACTGGAGTGGTCAGAGCTGTATCGATACTGGTCACTACTTCATTGTGAAAACAACCAGATCCTAGTTCTGGCCTTGCTCAAAATGACACAATTCCTCACCACTCCTCTGCAAAGGCCACGATGCCGAAACTCCCTTTATATTGCCCACATCCAGCTCTACTCACCCAGATCCTCCTTGCACTGGCCAGCCTGGGTGAAAAAGCTTCTACTGACTTCATAGCCACCAAAGAAGAAGAAGTAGCCAGGCACCTCCCGTAGCCAAGTACTGGTCAGGCCCTGGAAAAATCCCAGCAGGCCCTCAGATTGAAAGATATTTTTCACAGTAGCCCAGGTAGAGCTGCAAGAGAGAACACAGGCAATGTACCCAAACTCGGACCATAAGGGCCAGAAATGAAAACATAACGACACTTAGCATTACCTTTACCAACCCAGGATGATCAGTCAACCTAGAGCCATGCCATATTACCCCACATTCTAACTGAGACTGAATCCCAGATTCGTTTTCCAGGCCAAACTGGTCACATTCCAGCATTCCTGCTAGAGGCAGAATTTGAGGGGGAACGGAGAAAGGAGTAGGGGAGACTTGGTTTAAACTCATGTATCAGAGTGGGCTCTGGAGTATCATCCACTGACCTCCCTTGTTCCCTCATTTGCAAATGTTCTCCACAAATTGTCCATTGGAAACCTGGGATTAATTTGGGACATAGGCACAAAAACAGGAGAGCTGGGTAGCCTGGCAACCACAGCAGCAATGATCTGCACTGTGCCACGGGAGAGATGTTGGCTGCCAGCTCAGCCACAATACAGTGGCCAGGAAGGAGAGGAGGATGTTTGGTTGTGATAGAGGAAGGTTTCGGGTATGCTGTGGCATGCAGACCCACAGGCAGGCAGTATGGCCAGGAGGGACAGAAGGAAGCTGCAGGGCCCCACCCAGTAAGCACAAAGAACGTTTGCAATGCCTGGGTTTAGCACCAAGTCAGTTCTAGTCAGCTGGGCAGTGTGACACCCTCATCTTCCTGGGCAAGAGGGGAATTCAGACCTGCTGCCTCACTCACAAACCTTCCACCAGGGCTGTGTGTAATTCACCAAAGCCTGGCCTGCTTCCCAAGGGGCTGCGATGTACCTGTGACATGCCAGTGCTGTTCGCCCCGTGACCTTCATCTCAGGTAAGGCCTGCATGCGGCATTTCACCAGCTCCGCAGGGCACAGCACCATAGAGGAAAACACAGAAGAGAACGAGCCGGCAAGCGCACTCTGCAGGTTGCTGGCACCACAGGGCCCAAGAACACAAATGTTAGAGCTGAAGCTCGCCCCGCACAGGCCCAGGCTCTGCAGAGGGCCAAGCAGAGGCCCTCATCACCACTACCCTAGAAGAGGAATGTGACCTGCCTCCCCAACCCTGACTATCCCTTTGCTCAGGGACATCCCCACAGCCTTCTCTTGGGCCGTCACAGATGGAAAACATGGGCGACTCAGCTTCCCAAAATGGCATCACCCTAAATGCTGCCCCAAGTGCCCCCAACCTGAGCCCCCCAATGGGGCTTACAGCAGCCTTGCCACGCTGCTCCGCCCCCTGAGGTGTCCCTATGCCACACGCCTGCAGGGCCAGGCCATACCTCAGCTCCAGCACACTGCTCAGTCCAAACAGCTGCCTCACCAGCTGCTGACAGAAGCCATAGCAAGCGAACAGCACTGCGTTCTCTGCCACGTTAGCGAGCAGGGCTGGGGCGGTGCCCTGGTACAGCCCGGGCAGCCCTTCCTGCTGGTATGTCCGGACTGAGCAGTCAAAGAAACCCCGGTACATGGTGGGGAAGGTCTGCATCTTCACCTTGATTGTGTCAAAGGGCTGCCCACTAACCACGCATGCCACCCCGCCTGCAGAGACAAACCCACAGTCACCTCAGTGCCCCCCTTTGCCTCTGCTCCAGGGGCAAAGCCTCAGAGCACCTCAATGCCAGTCCTTCACCCCCAGCCCCTGGGGCAAAGCCCCCAGGTACCTCAGTGTCCCCTTAACCCTCCTAGGGCAAACCCCCAAGCTACCTCAGGACCAGTTCTTCACACATACACCGCCCCACCCAGGGCAAAGCCCCAGGGTACCTCAGTGCCAGGTGCTGGAGGTTGTAAGTCTCCTCTTCCCACAGCTGAGAGGCCCAGGATTGCAGGTGTCCTCTGAGCTAGAATTCCTCCCCCCGATAAGTTTTAACTTGCTCCTGAACTGTGGTTCTGCCTTATTTCAGGGATTCAGGTTCAACTCCTGCTGCCTTCCAGGCCTCACCGCTCTTCCTGTGGGGGCCCTATCCATGCATTTGGGTCAGGGCTCCCCTTCTCCCCAGCCTGGTATCTTGCCCTTCTGAGGAACCCAGATATGCTCCCAAATGATTCTACCTACCAATGCCCTCCGCCCCTTGCAGAGGACAGGCCCCAGCTCCCAGACTCACCTGCTGCCCCTGCAGTGAGGTGAACCAGTGCTTGTACCAGTGGGTGGGACTTGGCTGTGTCTGCAGACATCTCAGCAAACTGGACCACGCTGGACCCTAGAGCAGGAACCAGGCTGCAAATCAACCCACTACCAGCTCAGTGATGCAGAGAGCAGGGCAGGCAGCAGAGAGCAGAAGCAACAGGCTTAAGAGGCCAGCCTGCTGAAGAACCATATTGATCAAGTTTTCTTTGTACCTTTGGGAAGCAAACAGCAACTCTGAGATATCTGGGTATTTGGGGTGGAGGACCAGGTGCAGATTTGAAAGAGGGATTCGAGTCAGGGACATAGGGATTGGGAAGTTTGTGGGGGCTGTGAAGGAGGCTATTGTGGGTGCTGGGGTAGGACAAGGGCTGTGGAGTATGGAAGGTTGTGGGGAGCACAGGGACTGTGGAGATATGAGGGGGCTGTGGGCACAGAGGCTGGAGGGCATGTAGGGCGGCTGGAGGGAACACAGAGGTAGGGGGAGCTACTGGGTGGTGGGAAAGAATTGCGGAGGCTGTGGGACGCAGAGGCTGTGGAGGGCATATGGACTGAGGCTACTAGGCAGGTTGGAGTGGGGCACAGGGCTGGTGGGAGAAGGCCTGGATGGGGGAGCCGGTCTGCCCCACTGACCCGGGTCTGAGTGGCATGGCACCTCAGCATTGTTGGCAGCAGCTGAGTCCTGCCTCAGCTGCAACGGAATGGATCAGGAAGCAGTAGTGGGCAGAGAAGTAGCCAGGGGCACAACTTGGGATTGCTAAGGGGTGCTGCACTTCCCTGGTGCAGCTTTGGGCTCGGAGTGCATGCAGATGGTGCTGGGGCCGTGGGTGTGTGTAACAGGGTACCAGGGCAGAGGGTGTGTGTGGAGGTATCGGGGCACAGGGCGGTAGTGAGAGTGTATACGGGGTGTAGTGGGGCAGAGGGTGGATATTGGGAGTGTATACGGGGTGCAGCAGGGCAGAGGGCACGTAGCAGGAGTGTGTATGTGATCTAGCGGGGCAGAGGGTGGGTAGCAGGAGCGTGTACGGGGTGTAGCGGGGCAGAGGGTGGGTAGCAGGAGCATGTACGGGGTGTAGCGGGGCAGAGGGTGGGTAGCAGGAGCGTGTATGGGGTGTAGCGAGGCAGAGGGTGGGTAGCAGGAGCGTGTACGGGGTGTAGCGGGGCAGAGGGTGGGTAGCAGGAGTGTGTATGGGGTGTAGTGGGGAAGAGGGGGGTAGTGGGTATGTGTACAGGGTGTAGCAGGGCAGAGGATGGGTAGCGTGTCTCAGTGCAGGGGGTATTGTAGAAGAGGGGTAGTGTGTGTTTGTGTATGTGAAGATGGAGCAGTGGGCGTGTGGGCAGATGGGGGGGCAGGGGTATCAGGGTAGTGAAGAGCTGTGCAGTAGAGGATCCAGGCAGAAGGGGGAGTGGGGATGTATTTAAAGAGTATCAGGGGAGAGCAGTGTTGTACAAAGAGGTAGCAGGACAATGGATGTGTGTGCAGGGATGCAGTGGGTAAAGTGGATAGTGGAAGTGTGGGTAAAGGGGTGTCAGGACAGTAGGGGGTATGGCAGGTATTGGCAGTGGTAAAAGGCTATCAGGGTAGTGGAGGGGTGTGTGGTGGGGGATCAGGGCAGAATCACAGAATCGTAGAATCATAGAAGATTAGGGTTGGAAGAGACCTCGGGAGGTCATTGAGTCCAAAGCAGGACCAACCCCCAACTAAATCATCCCAGCCAGGGCTTTGTCAAGCCAGGCCTTAAAAACCTCTAAGGAAGGAGATTCCACCACCTCCCTAGGGAACCCATTCCAGTGCTTCACCATCCTCCTAATGAAATAGTGTTTCCTAATATCCAACCTAAACCTCCCCCACTGCAACTTGAGACCATTACTCCTTGTTCTGTCATCTGCCACCACTGAGAAGAGCTGAGCTCCATCCTCTTTGGAACCCCCTTCAGGTAGTTGAAGGCTGCTATCAAATCCCCCCTCACTCTTCTCTCCTGCAGACTAAATAACCCCAGGTCCCTCAGCCTCTCCTCCTAAGTCATGTGCCACAGCCCCCTAATAATTTTCATTGCCCTCCGCTGAACTCTCTCCAATTTGTCCACATCCCTCCAATTTGTCCACAGAAGGGAGCAGTGTGGATGTGTTTAAAAGGGCATTGGCAGAGGGGAGTAGTGGGTGTATGTACGGGAAGTATCAAGCCAGGGAGTCTAATAGGTGTGCGTGTAAAGGGGAAGTGGAGGGCTGTACAGTGGGGACTGGGGAGAGCGGAGCGAATAAAGAGGTATCGGGGCAGTAGGGGTGTTTCATGGCTGTACTGGGGCAAAGGGGAATCGTGGGGGTGCATGAAGTCCACGAGGGACTTTGCCATTGCTTTTATCTGGGAGCTGTTCCGATTACTCTGGTGATGGGCCGCAATATAAACTCTTTAGACAAAGAGATGTGAAGGGACATTGGTGGGGGCTGTTTGCGCAGGCCTGTCAAGGCAGAGGTTGAGACTGAGAGTGCGAGGGAGGATAATTTGCCAGACACTACTAAATTCCAGCTCGGCTTTAATTTGCAGACTTCTTCCCCGCTCTCCAGCCAAACCTGATGCCCCAGGTGGCCCGGGAACATATTTCAGGCCCATTTACTCAGCCGTGACTTCCCAACGCCTGCCCTTTTTGCGGTGGGAGGGAGACCCTGGCGCATGTCTACCTGCAGTGCGCCAGGTTGCAGCCCCTCTTCCGGCTTCTCCAGAACCTCTTATTGAGGCACTTTTCCCCACACCTGTTTATTTATGCACACCCCATCCATGGCCCCACAAAGCGTCAGGACCACCTTGTCAACCTCCTCCCAACCATGGCCAGCCATTTATAACACCAGGGAGAGGAGGCTGGTTTGGGGGGGGGGGTGCTCTGTGACTGTGGGACCTGGTTTAGTTCCCTTATCTGTTCACACATCCAGGCAGAGTTCCTTTGGGCCACATCTGCTGGCTCCTTGGATACCTTTGAGGAGCAGTGGGCACTGTCTGGGGTTCTCTGCTCGGTGTCCCCTTCAGGTTCCCTAATTTTGGCCCTTTGATCCTCACGCCTGTTCCTGTTTTTTTCCTTTGTTGTCCCCCGAATTTAGTTGAGTTCTGGGCTCAGTATCTCCTCCACAGGCTGGGGGGGGGGGTTAGCTGTGGGCAGGCTTACGCCACCCACTTCCCAGCACCCAATAAGATACTCAGCAGTGACCAGAAAGTACAGGGTTCAAGGGAGAGACGTGTCCCTGAGGAGGAAAGTGGGTTCTGCACTAGTCCTTCTAATACCTACCCACATATGGTGAAGTGGATAGCTCAAAACATTAAATCAGTGGGTGCATTCTCCCTCTCGGAGAATCACAGAGCTTTCCCTGCTCTCCCCCTTGGCTGCAGTGCGGGAGGTGTTTTTTCCTGAATGTGCCCATCCTTCCCCCCTCCCTCCCAGTATGTGAGCCATACCATGGCCTCAAAGGTTCCAGGTATACTAACCCCTGAGAAGCCGGTTTGCAAATAGGATGTAGGAATCTCGTGTATCTGTCACATTTCAAAGCTAGCAAGTTCAAAACCTGTTAATGACATGAGTCTTTAATGTTCTTTATCAATTTGGTTTTAGATTAATTCCTACTGTGTTTTTAAAGCAAGAGGTACAACATCATGGGCCCACAAATAGCACAAGTTTTTCAAAATAATGATAAGAGTCCTTTGGCTTCACACATGTAGAAGGCCAAGTGAGAACCATACTTTCATGAGCAACTAGAATCTCTATAAAAACAGCAGAACTCAAAAAGGGAAAGCGGTTTAAATAGACAAATCAAACAACTGAGGCTAAGAAGATCCCATCCTATTTCAGAACTTTGGTGGGTTCCCATGACTTCTAGGAGGAAACAAGTTTAATGTGGCAGTTTTTATAGAGTCAACATCTTTATATGGTTGAACTGTTCATTTCTAAATACAGCCTGTTCTCTTTCTCTGGCCAGTGCTACCTCTCTTCATATCTAGTAGGTCTGGCAGAGGCCTTTAAAAGTCTTACAAGGTATTTGTACTGCACGCTATCAATCAAGTTAGTTCAAATAAGTCCTTTTTCTCTCTGTAGAGCAGATGTATAAGGATGGTAGAAGCAGCTTCCTCAATGCTCGTTAGAGGCACTTGACATTCCTAAACAGGTAACTACTAGCTGTTGGAGTGGAATAGTCTCTGTTTGTCCCAGCAGCCAGATTCCCCGCAAAAGATGGCACTAAGTTCCAGCTAGGAGGTTGTGCAAATGAGAGAGGCAGGACAGGGCCAACTGTGAGATGCCCTTCAGCAGACATATTTACAGGCACAAGCTGTTCAGGCGGATAGCTGCCATTAAGTAACTTGAGCCCTCTCAGTATATACTCTTGAGGGTCAGTCAGAAAATAACCCAATAAACCTAAAAGCCAAATAACAAAGTACCCTTGAACATCCATAACCCCCAACTCAGCCCATAGAAGACCAAGTACAGTTAAAATCACAGCTAAGGTAAAAACAAAAAAATACACATGCAAAGCCCCCTGACTGATGGAGCTTACAGTGCCTTCTGTAGTAAGATGAGGCCCTGAAACATTAACCCTTGTATCAGGGGGCCGGTATGATGCCTAAGGCCTGAACTAAAGTAATGGTCCAGACTTTGCTAATATAAAGCTAAGTTAATTTGTGAGCAAAAGGCAGGCCCCGCTCACAGAAGCTGGTAAGAAGAGGGCTGACGTTGCAAAAATACACATAGCTAAAAGGTACCAGAACACTCCGATATTTGCACATTCCACAGATAACAAGGAACAGGCTGACCCATCCTAAAGACGGGCAAAAGGGCAGTATGATGGTTACGGTTGCTTTGTTCGAACCAACATGTACAAGGTGAGAGGCGGCACCTTGCTACGTAGAGGGGTTGCACCTCAATACGTCAGGAGTGATGTGTAACTTGTTTGTACCTGTGTATAAGAACGCATCCCTGGGGAGTTGTCTTGGTCTGGTGTAGGGGGCAGTGGTAAATCCCGCCACTGACTGAGCCGGTCCAATGTCAGGGAGCACATAAGTACTAGCAGAACTGTAGACAGCTGATCCGGGGAGCT